CGAAGTGTGGGAGGATACATTCCTGTACATTCATGTGTGTGGCCATACAGTTTCAGTGTTAGCTGGGTGAAAAGTCTTGGTGCAACTTACGGATTGACCATAGATACTATAGATTGCTTCGAAAGAAGCTGTTGTTTTCCAAAGTCTCGCTACCAGTTTGTATCCCCCCAGCAGTATGTAATAGGTCCTGTTTTTCCCATCATTGTCAGCAGTTAGTATTGTCTGTCTTCTGAACGTTAGTCATTGAAATGTGTGTGGTATCACTGCTTTGAATTCATAATTCACTGACGATACTGCTTGTCCTCTCATTTGCTAAATGTGAGGGCTTATTTTGGGGAAATTTTATCCATTTTTAAAATGATTAATTTATGTGTATAAGTGTTTTGCCTGCATGCGTGTATGTGCAATCCATATGTACCTATTGTCCATGGAGGCCAGAAGAGGGCATGGCTCTGGACCTGGAGTTAAAGATGCTGGTGAGACTGTGTGTGGGCCTGGGACTCAAACTCAGGTCCTCTGCAAGAGCAGCTGGTGTGCTTTTAACTGCAGAGCCATCTCTCTGTCCCTGATTTTTATCTGTTTTTAAAACCGAGTTATTTTCTTACTGAGTTTCAAGGATTCCATGTGTATATTTTGGATATAATTCCATTATCAGATGTGTTTTGTATATTTTTTTCCTCTTAGTGGCTTGCCTTATTCTCTTGTTAACCTTTCTTCAGATTTCAAGTTTATTTTAAAATGAGTATATTATAGGAATACACAATAGAGGTGGCAAATTAAAAATTAAACTTTTTACTTTATTATAAAAAATCTTGGAAATAACATTTACAGAGCTTTTTCATGTTTTTGTTGTAACAAAAAGCTCAAAGCCAGAGTCACCTAGATTCCCTCCTGTCCCCTAAATTTGTGTTTTACATTTAAATCAACATTGGCAGCTGAAATATAGGTTTTTGCCAAATGCAGAGTTCTAGGCTAAAGTGGTTTCTTTTAAACATGAAACACCTCATTTCATTCTCTCCTTGCCTGGACAGTTGTGCAGAGCTCCTATGAATTCTCATGGAAGTGCAGGTAATACAAGCTCACCTCGGACTTTCAAGATCTTGTGTTTTCTGCAGTCTGCATACAATTTTCTGAGGTGTAGGGCTTTCACAGCTGAGCGTTCTCATCTGTGCTCTTGTCTTAGTTAGGGTCTCTTTCTTTTTTATTTGTTTTTCAAGATAGGGGTGTGTGTGTGTGTGTGTGTGTGTGTGTGTGTGTGTGTGTGTGTGTGTAGCCCTAACTGTCCTGAAATTAGCTCTGTAGACTGGGCTGGCTTCAAACTCACAGCAATCTGTTTGCCTTTGACTGCTGAATTCAAGGCGTGTACCATCACAGTCTGACCACGGCAACTCTTATAAAAGAAAACATTTAACTGGAGCTTGCTTACAGTTTCAGAGGTTTATTTAGTTCGTTATTATCATGGGGGGACATGGTGGCATTCAGGTAGACAGTGCTGGAGAAGAAAGTGAGAGCTCTACATCTGAGCCGCAGACAGCAGGAAGTGACAGTGACACCCTGGCCAGGCCTGAGCGTTCGAGACACACTTCCTCCAGCAAAGCCACACCTCCTAATACCACTCCTTATGGGCCTATGTGGGCTGTTTTTTTTTTTTTTTTTTTTTTTTTTTTTATTCAAACCACCATGGCTCCTGTCATTTAGACAGGGTTTTATGTAGCCCCGTCTTATCATCAAACTCACCATTTAGCCCAGGCTGGACTTGAGCTCCTGATCCTCTTGCTCAGGGATAGCTTCCTCTTCAGTGTTGGAAATTATAGTCATGTGCCTGCGTGTGATATTTCTTTGGCTCTTTCCTGTCTTTCTTGACCTGGCCTTCCTACTGTGCCGTGGCTCAGGGCTCTCACAGCCCTTAGATATTCTGTTCCAGTTTTTCATTCTCTCCTTCTCTTTGCATTCCCTGCTGGTGCATTGTCCGGGTTTGTTTGGTTCTCCCAGCTGTGTTCAATAGACTGCATTTTCTTGGGGTGGTGCTAGGCCTTGAACCCTGGGCCTCAGACGTGCTAGGTAAGTGCTCTACCACTAAGCTGTGTTTCCCAGCCTAGGTTTCAGTCCACTAGTGAGCCCACCTAAAGTGTCTCCATTTCTCCTACACGGCTTTTGGGTTCCAGCATTTCCTTTTGTCTCCCTAGGCTTCCAGTCTGTGTACTTGACTCAGCCTTGTACGATGTCCATTTTTCTACCAGAACTCTCAGCATAGTAATTAGTTATTTAAAATTTGTAGTGTAAACTTTTCCAAATCCTTGCCATAAATGGGTCTGGTTCTGTTGCTGCTTTTGTCTCTTCAGATGCTTTGCTGTTTAGCATTGAAGGAGAGACACCATGTGTTGGATAAAGGAACTGAGATAGAGAACTATAGGATCAGGGCTAATTCCCATCTGGCTTGGCCATGGTGTTTTTAGCTTATTGTAGCTGTTAAGTCTTGAGATTTCATTTAAGAAATTATTATTTATGTGTATGTACATGTGTCTGTACCCAAGGAGTTCAGAGTGCTGTCAGCCCCCTGAAGCTGGAGTTTCAGGCAGTTGTAAGCTGCCTGATTGTGGTTGCTGGGAATTGAACTCTGGTCTTCTGTAAGAACAAAATGTGCTCTTAACCATTGAGCCATTTTCCCAGTCACTTCATTTTTTAAAGTGCCTTTGCTTTCCTAGGAGTTCCTTAAATTAGACCAGCTGTAGCGCTTTATGGTCGTAGAGGAGCGCTGATGGTGTCTGTCACAGGTATCTGTGTGGGTACAGTGTCCTGAGAAGACCCTGGGTCTTAAGAAGCTTGTGGCCCTGGGCTATGGCCTTCAATAAGTGCTTGTCATTCGGTCCTCCCCCTTAGTTAAAGTGCTAGGGTCGCAGGGGTTAGAACAGGATGTGTTCCCTATAAGGTCAACCCCGATAGAGCAGAGCCCCCATCCGCTCCCTCCTGCTGCACATACGAAGAGACTTTTCCCAAGTGGATCCTGGAAGTAGATGTCATGAAAGTGTATGCATTTGTGTGCGTCTGTGTGCACGCATGTGTGTTTGCATGTGTGTGTGTGTACATGTGTGTGTGTGTGCATGTGTGTGTGTGTGAGTGCGTGTAGAGGGCTAGGGCTGAGCAGCAGGAAGCTGTACCTCTCAGGTCAGCCCACACCAAGCTTCCAGCAATTTGTTCATTATTTGTTTCCTTTCTTGATCCCTGTGGCACACAGTTACAGTAGACGATGTCCGCATTCACCTGTCCATAACCTTTCGGGGGTCTTGGCCAGTGAGTTCAGTTCTCTGATGGATCTACAAAGAGGTGGCGGTTTTCCGTTTGCCTGTTCTCTGTAAGGATGAAGTGACCGGGGGTGGAGGACGGCTCCGTAGTTAAGAATACTCACTGCTCTTGCAGAGGACCTGGATTCAGTTCTCAGCATCCACATGGTGGCTGCTCACAACTGGCGGTATCTCCAGCTCCAGGGTAGCCGATGCCCTCTTCTGGCCTTTCCTTCTGGGCACTGCACACATGTGGTGTGCTTACACCCGTGTAGGCAACATGCTCATACTCACAAAAATAAACCTTAACAAAACGAGTGGCAGCATCTAAGGTCTTCACATCTCAGAGTGGAGTCTAAAAGTCCAGATACAGCTCTTAGTTTCCTAGAGCGTGATTTTTATGTGGTTTTGGTGTGTGTCTCTGTGTGGCATATGTAGGTGAATGCGTGTCTTAGTTGGGGTTCCCCTTGCTGTGATGAAACACCATGACTAAGGCAACTTGGGGAGGAAAGAAAGCGTTTTTTTGACTTATGCTTCCACATCCCTGTTCTTCATCAAACAAGTCAGGATGGGAACTCGAGCAAGGCAGGAACCTGGAGGCAGGAGCTGATGCAGCGGCCATGGAAGGGTGCTGTTTACTGGCTTGCACCTCATGGTTGCTGAGTCTGCTTTCTTATGGAACCCAGGACCCAATGAGATGGGCCCTCCCCCATCAATAAGAAAATGCTCTGCAGGCTTGCCTACAGCTGGATCTTATGGAGGCATTTTCTTCATTGAGGTTTCTTCCTCACAGATGACCATAGCTTGTGCCAAAACTAGCAGCATAGTGTGGTCAAGTCTACTTGCTTACTTCTTTCTGTGCAGGTCAGAGGTCAATGTTGGGCATTTTCCTCTCTTGTTTTCCATCTTATTGGTTTGTTATTTTTTTTTTTGATATTTATTGAGCTCTACATATTTCTCTGCTCCCCTCCCTGCCTCTCCTCTGCCCTTTCAATCCTCCCCCAAGGTCCCCATGCTCCCAATTTACTCAGGAGATCTTGTTTTTTTCTACTTTCTACTTCCCATGTAGATTAGATCTATGTAAGTCTCTCTTAGTGTCTGCATTGTTGTCTAAGTTCTCTGGGATTGTGGTTCTTTCTGTGCTGTCTTTCTTTGCTTTATGTTTAAAAACCACCTACGAGTGAGTACATGTGATAATTGTCTTTCTGGGTCTGGGTTACCTCACTCAAAATAATGTTTTCTAGCTCCATCCGTTTGCCTGCAGAATTCAAGATGCTATTGTTTTGTTTTCTGCTGTGTAGTACTCCATTATGTAAATGTACCACATTTTCCTTATCCATTCTTCGGTCAAGGGGCATCTAGGTTGTCCCCAGGTTCTGGCTATGGCAAACAGAGCTGCTATGAACATAGTTGAGCACATGTCCTTGTGGCATGATTGAGCATCCTTTGGATATATATACCCAAACGTGGTATTACTGGATCTTGAGGAAGGTTGTTTCCTAATTTTCTGAGAAATCGCCACACTGACATCCAAAGGGGTTGAACCAGCTTGCACTCCCACCAGCAATGCAGGAGTGTTCCCTTTTCCCCACAACCTCTCCAGCATAAGTTGTCATAGGTGTTTTTGATCAAAGATCAGGTGTTCGAAGATGTGTGGATTGATATCCAGGTCTTCTATTCAGTTCCATTGGTCCTCCTGTCTGTTCTTATGCCAATACCAGGTTGTTTTCAGTAATGTAGCTTGGTTTATTATTTTTTAAATTTTGTTTTTGTTTTATATGTATAGGTGTTTTCCTGCATGTATGTCTGTGTACCTGAGGAGGCCAGAAGACTATATCAGCTAGATCTGGAACTGGAGTTACAGAGGGCTGTGAGTCCCTATGTGCCTGCTGGGAATTGAACCTGGGTCCTCTGGAAGAGAAGCCAGTGCTCTTAACCGGTGAGACATCTCTCCAGTACGTTTTCAGATATGGCTATGGTATCCTGTGATCTGGGGCAATCCACTGAGTTCACATTTTCTCTGCAGCCCGTGGCTGCTTTGCTTACTTAATACCACGATAGCCACCATGCTTCACATAATGGTGACTTGATTAATGACTGTGGTGAGTCTTTGCTTCACGGAACCCCATGAAGGCGGTGCCACCTCAGAACCACACTCTAAACAGAGGGCACAGCTTAGCTGAGTCGAGCAGCTGGAAGTGATTGAGGCCCAGCTCAGCTCCTCAGAAGCCTTGCAACCTTGGACAAGCTACTCCTGCTCCTGCGATAAACAGGTAGCCTGAGCTTTGTGGGATTTGCGCATGCTTGGAGCACGCTGTTCCAGGTCCTTCAAGCATTTAGCTCAATGGCCACTTGTGAGGTTTCTGCTAACTTTGGCTCACTTTGGAGGAATGGATGAAACATGGTCCAGAGATGATAGTGTCTGGGGTTGGGATATGGTGAGGCTGGGCTTCAATAGGATTACATGTTAAAACTTCTAAAAGTTACCTTTCCTTTGTATCTTACTGGGCATAGTGGCGTATACCTTTAATTCCAGCACTTGGGAGGCAGAGGCAGGTGAATATCTGTGAGTAGAAACCAGCCTGGTCTACAAAGTGAATTTCAGGACAGTCAGGGCTATATAATGAGACCCTGGCTTAGAGAGAGATGGAGAGAGAGAGAAAGAATATCTCAAAACTTACCAAACTAAATTGCAAGGTGGCAGACTACTTATATTCTAGATTCTAGAAATTTGCATTTTGAGTGAGAATGGGGTTGAACAGGGAAGCCTGAAGGTGAATGCTACATTGAGCTGCATGAGGCAAAGACGATAACCACTACACTCTGGAAACTCCCTGTATGAGGGGCGGGGCGGGCATAGGGCCAAGCAGGAGCTGTCCCTGTGGCCAACAGCAAAAGTCAAGATCTCAGAGGAGGTGGCTTTTTGGCATAATGATATTGGAGCATTCTTAGAGGTGTCGTGCTTCTTGTGAGGTGAAAGACTCACAGCTGAAGGGACAGGCTTATGGTAGGCCATGGCTACACCCTTGACTGACTGCATGAAGAGCCAGCGACCATTGACACAGTTTCTCGCCACTCCGCTGGGCTTCAGAGCCAGAAGTCCAAGGTTTGAAGAAATGAAGTAGGTATTTCCCGTTTCTCAGTTGACGGCTTCCGTTCATAGTCATTTCTTTTCTCAGGTCATCTCCGATGGCACACGTGTTTCCTACTGCTACGACTACTCCTATCAGTGTGCGAGCATGTGCTCTTGATGTGTGTGAGCACGTGTGCAATGGCTCACGCCTGGAGGCCAGAGTAAACCATGTGCAGTTGTTTCTCTCCTTCTTCCTTTACATGGACCCCAGGGACTGAGCTCAGGTCATCAGGCTTGTGAAGCAAGCACCTAGAATCCCCAGGCCATCTCACCATCTCAGCGTAAGTACTTCTGAGGTGCAGACCTGCCCTTCGTGCCTGTTGCTTCTGCACCACTGATTCTGATGGATTGTTGAGGCTCCAGGAAAGGGGGAGATGGTGGCCACAATTCAATAGTCTATGGGTGTGGACTAAGAATGGCAATTCCACAGGTAACCACAAGATGGAGACATTTCACAATTTATGTTTTAAGACAGTGCAGCAGGGGCTTTATTCTTCTGGCGTCTTAGCCTTTGTTCTAAAATTGGTGCAAGTTTTCCTGGGAGTTAGCAGTGTGATTGGAGCCCTGTGATGAGGCTCTGTCGTGGCTCCCCACCAAGAGCTGAAGGATCCTTGTCTTGTGAATCCAGGAAGCAGAGATGAAAGAATGAGTCCCCCAGGGCTAGGCGAGGACATGAGGGTTATTGTTCATAGCACCCCTCATGCCCCCCACCCCATCCCAAACCTTGCAAAGCAGAGAAGATATTTATTTTGCTATTTGCTATGAATAGGACAGATCAAGACAGACACATAGTTGTCGGTTTTCTGTTAACTGTCAATACAGCGTTTGTGAGGAGTGTGTCTCTGTGTGTGTGTGTGTGTGTGTGTGTTGTGGGGGGCAGAGCTGGTGTGAAGGAAGGGTAGGAGAACATTCCGAGTGGACAGAGGCTGTGATCCTGGTCTAAGAACCTGAGAAGCCAGTTAGGCTTTGGGCTTTATTTTACGGTTCGCCCCCAGGGCTGGTTTTAATGGGAACAGTTCCGCATATTCCTTGTCCTTTGGCCACATCAGCACTTAGGTCGCTGTCTTTATTGCGGGGTACAGAGGGGACGTCTCAAAGCATCTAATTGCAAAGGGCAGCAGCCACTTCTTCAAGTCAGCATCATTTGTTCAGGGGAAGAGTTCTGCAGACCGGGCTTGGCGAGAAGTAGGTCAGGCTGGAGGAAGCAGCCTGGCGGCTGTGAGAGGAGGGTTCAGAGGACTCTGAAAGGAACATTCCTTCAGCTGCCTGCTTCTCTGACCCTTAGGGGTCGTTGGGTGTCCTCTCACCCTGCGCCAGTTATGAGCCATGTTTCAATCACCCACCCACCTACCCACCCACTTGCTCCTCACTCACTGAAAGCTGGTGAAAGCCGGCCTTTCCAGACTCCATCCCAGATGCTGGAGCCCCCGCAGAGGGCCTCTCAGGATGCTTGCTACACACTGGGGACATGTGGATCCTTTGAGACCAATCTGCTAGGTGGTCACTTACTCTCTTCTCTGAACTTTGGTTCTCTCAGAAATATAACAGGAATAATTTTGTGCCTAACGATATCACTAGCTGCACGAGATTTCAGTGAGGGTGAAGAAAGCAGATTGTGCACAAGTCGGCATGGGACCTGGCTACGGGGAAGCTTTGTCCTTTGAGCAGGTGGCGAAGGCGAACTGTGGTAGCCAAGGGTGTGAACCGCTGCTGCTGTCCCCTGCTTTCCTTGATGGCACTGGAGTCTGGAACCCAGTGAACCTAAGATGCCTTCTTCCCTAAGGTGGCCAAGACTGAGTTTGTGAGATGACAGTATGACAAATCGTTTAAGGGCACAGGCCCTCGAGCAGCCTGGTCCATGGGAAGTCCCAGCTGGGCAGTTGCTGGCTGCAAACTTTAAGCCGAGCTACTGAGAGTCTTTGTGTTTCAACGTCCGACCTGTTAAATAACAGCAGCTTTCTGAACACGGTGGTTATGAGTCAGAGCAAAGCACCCAGAATAGGCCCTGGTGGACTCAGTCACTCACCATGATGCTGCGGTTACTGTTGTTCCAGCCAACTTGGTTCTCTGATGGTAAATTTAAAGGGTGCATGGCTACTCGAGTTTCTCGAACACAGAAAAGGAATGGGGTGAGAACAGGGTGGGTGGGAGAGCAGGGGTGGGAGTATGTGGAGGAGGCTGTTCTCTTATCCCCTTGGTTTCCCAGAGCTCCCTAAGGAGCACAATCAGCTAAGGACCAAGCACTTAACACATGAGTCTTTGGGGGGGGGGAGTTTAAGTCAAAACATACGAGGTGAAGGAGGTGTTGGGTACCTGTTGTCTGTGATGGTGATGGACTAGTGGTCAATGGGGTGATGGTGGGGTGTTAGTGGGGAGGGATGTCGCTGGAGCTGTGGGGAGGCAGTGTGAGATGGGGCACTGTAGTGTGGTGAGGTAAGATGGCCCTTCTCTTTGTTCTGGGGAGGTCATTCTTACTGTGATCAGCACCGCAGGTCACTTTCAGGAACTGAAGTGACCCCGGCTCCTCAGGATTCACCATCTCTTCTTGGAGGCCCTGGTGTGTTGACAGCTATACCAGTTTCTTCTCATTGCCTAGATACTTGTCTCATTCATTTATGGACATGCCTATACTAAAGTAATTGATCAATCAATCAATCAATGAACTTTAATTTTCCATTTTCATGTGTCTGCATATTCATGCTTGCAGGTGAGTATGTGCACCCTATCCTGTGTGTGTGCATGTGTGCACGTGTGCACATGTGTGTGTGTAGACATAAAGTTGATGTCAGGACTCGTCCTTCATCTCTCTTCCATCTTACTCATCGAGGCAGGGTTTCTCAATCAAACCCAGAGCTCACTGATATGGCTAATCTCACTAGCCAGCTTGCCCTGGGAATCCCAGTCTCTGCCGTGTGAAGGTGGAATGACAGGCAGATCACCACACCCAGCCCACATTTATGTGGATATTGGGGGATGCAAACTCCAATACTCATGACGTGTAGAAAGCACTTTCGCCACGGAGCCATCTCTGCAGCCCCATCACCTTTCAATAAAATCTTAGCCAATGGTGGCAGTGGTGGCACCTGCCTTTAATCCCAGCACTCAGGAGGCAGAGGCAGGTGGATCTCTGTGAGTTTGAGGCCAGCCTGGTCTACAGAGTGAGTTCCAGGACAGCCAAGGGCTGATACAAAGAGAAACCCTTAAAAAATTCAAATTCAAAGTATTTATATTTTATGTGCCTGCACCTGAGTATGTATGCCACGTCCATTCTTGGTGCCCAGGGAAGGAGCTGACTGACCTTCTGGAACTGGAATCATGGACAGCTGTGAGCGGCCGTGTGGGTCTTGGGACTCTAACCCAGGTTCTCTGCAAGAAGAGCTCTTAGCTGCTGAGCCATCTCTCCGGCCCTTATCCTTTATTTTATAGTCTCACCTCAGACTCTTTTCCCCCTCTGAGAAACCACAGGCATTTTAAAGATATTGTTCACATATTTCTTACAACCTGCCTTTGATGTGGGGTCAGGTACAAGAACCTCACTTTACAGGTGACAAAATTGAGGCTCTTCTTCAAGTCTCCTGTTTCTTAAACCATCTCGAAGTGGGTTCTGGTTTGCAACCTTTCCTGGGGCTGGAGTGATTAATTTTTGTTGGAGAAAAAGGCTGTTTTGTTACATTTCCCCCTCCCCTCCTATGGGAGGGGAGATGCCGGGGGACGATTGTTTCTTTCTCTTTACAGAGGTTGGGTGGCTTCGCCCTGTGTCCAATGGGTGACCTGGTTTCCTTGCTGACAGGGTAGTACGGGGTGGGGGCTGAGCCGTGAAACCCTGGGGCACAGGGAGGAGCATGAATTTTCCTATGAATCTTTGAAGAGAGAGCGCTGTTTGTATTGCCCTTGCCAGCTCAGGAACCATTTTAGGGACAGGAAAGAAGAGAAAGAATGAAAGAGGGAGAAAAATAAAACAAAGCCCTAAACCCTAAACACTTCTGCTATTTTTGATCACATTTTTTTTCTTGCTTCACAGTTGGTAAAGCTGAGAAAAAAGATCACATTTTCCTTGGCGAGAAAAGCTGCAGTTTCTTCCGGAACACCTTTGAAGAGAGGGGCCCACCGCAGTCCCTGTCCTTGGAGATGGTGCATTGTCGGTGCATGAACCGTGACAAAGGCCTTTGAGGCTGAGAAATGGATGAAAGGACCGCATGCAGGCCATTCGTCTCTAGCAAGCAGCGTCCTCAAATGCTAGCTGTGCAGGTTAAACAGGAGCCAGAAGTTCCCAGCAGCCTCCCCAGTCCTGTTTGCAGATGGTTTACGGACGGGCGTTGAAGCCTCAGGACCCTCCCTTCTTCCCTCTGCGGAACACTCTTGCTGGTGCCCACTCCTTAACTTGTGTTCCTGTTAAGTGCCCGAGGTTGCAATCCTCTGCAATTATCTGGCAAGCGCCATCAGGGGAGATGCTGGAGCCTTAGAAGTGGTCTCAGAAGCGGAGCAGTGTCATGATCACTTTGCAAATTGAAGAACAGCACACAAGGCAAATATGAGGAAGCCCCATGAAGTGCTGACCAAGACCAACTTCCCTTCCTGTCCTGGGGCTCCGCGTGGGATGCAGGCGGGGAGGAGGGAAAACTACGAACCACATAGCGAGCTTGGTTGAGATCCTAAGAGATCTGCCGGGAGACTTCCTTTGTTGTGCCTCAGAGGACTCCTGGTACCAACGGCTCTGTGCCCACCTGGGTCAGGGTGTGGAACTTAGCTGTGAGGAAGAAGTAGTCTTAGCACCAGGGAAGGGAGTTAGTCTCAGGGCAGAGTTGTGTACCCCAGGAAGCTCAGGGCACTGGAGGGCACTGGGGGGTGTACGGCAGTGGAGCGTGGTCCTGAGAAGGGTTGGGCTAAGGTGTAGTAGGGATGTCTCTGCTGAGGTGGGACAGGAACAGAAGTCAATGGCCCATTCAAGGCCACCAGGTCTGGGCCTGGAGTCAGAACTGTGTTCCTAGCTTTATTTCATCAAAGGAAAACCACCGAGTGTTTGAGGAAAGAGGGACTTGAGTTTATGAAATCATTTGGGCATGTGATTCCCAGGGTGGTGGTGGTGGTGTTGACTACAATGGGTTTGTGCTCTGTTCTGGGTTAGTATTTCAGAAAGGGGAGCAATTTGGTGAGTAGGTACCTTGTCTTAGTCACACTCCTTGATTTAACCTGTAGGTCTGGACGTGGGAGGACAGAGCTATCTGCAGCTATGGCTTGGAGAGGAACAGCGATGACTCACCTTAGGGGAGGGAGAGGAAGCTCGGCACTCCACCTCCCCCGTTCAGTTATGGAGTGCGGTTTTCTTTTTATATAATTGGACTTCTCAGTTGATGCTGATATTGTCTTGGGGACATCACAAGCTAGCAGGGAGCAGCTAGGTTGGCTACCAAATGAAACATCTCAGAGATGTTCTCCCCTCCCTTTTCATCAAAATAACCTGGGATCCGCGTACTGAGAGATGAATAGGAGTTTTCTAGATCAACTGGGTGGCGCTGAGTATCCCAGGAGGCAGTGGGCACAGAGTAGGTCAGGACTGCAGAAATAAGGGTGTGTGAGGAGTTGGGGGGGGCAGGCCAAGGAGATGGGCAGGGCCAGCTGATGAGAGACGGGAGAGTTTGACTGAGAACCTCTGCCTTCTTCTAAGTGCTCACTCAGCTCAGAGCAGCTGATTGACAAATGTTTACTGAAATAGACTATTGGATACTGAATCAAACCCCTTCTTGTGTATCCCAGGCCATAAAGAAGAGCTGTGTGTGGGTTTGGATGCCGTCCTCCCTGGAGAGCAGACCGCACTGGACTTCGGCAGTCGTGGAGCTGAGGGGATCCTTACTACACGATCCCCAATCCCACTGCACTCCACAGGCTGCGACTCAGAAGCCGCAGTGCCACCACCGATCTTTTCTTCCACTCTTCCCTCTCAGTGACTCCAAATGTTCCCTCATGCCAACACCCAAACTGTTTCTGTGGCTATCGTCAGGCAGTACACGCCTTTAATCCCAGTGCTCAGGAGGCAGAGTCAAGCAGATCTCTGTGAGCTGGAGGTCAGTCTGCTCTACATAGTGAGGTCCAGGTCAGCGAGGACTGTGAAGAGAGACTGTGTCTCAATAAAAAGTGACAACAACCCCCACATTGAAACACATGCCTATTATATCAAAAATTCCCTGCCCCCACCCCACCTGGTGTTGGGGACTGAACCCAAGGCCTCTGATAGTGAGGTAAGAGCTTTTCCACTAGGCTGTATCCTCAGCTGGCATCTGCCATCCAAAGTCTCACATGGGTCCCGTGTCTGTCTAGGGTCAGGTCTTACCATCAGGCTGAAATAAGCTGTGGTAGTTTGAGTAGATATGGCCCCCATAGGCTCCTGTGTTTGAATGCTTGGCCCCAAGGAGTAGCACCATCAGGAAATGTGACCTTGTTGGAATAGGTGTGGCCTTGTTGGAGGAAGTGTGTCATTGTGGAGGTGGGCTTTGAGGTCTCATATGTTCAAGCTACATCCAGTATGCCACAGTCTCCAACTCCCGTGGATCAAGATGTAGTAGAACTCTCAGCTCCTTCTCCAGCACCATGTCTGCCTGCACGATGCCATGTCCCACCATGACAATGATGGACTAAAACTCTGAAACTGTAAGCCCTAATTAAAGTTTTTCCTTGTAAGAGTTGCCATGGTCATGGTCTTTTCACAGCAATAGAAATCCTAGCTGAGACAGACGTCGTTCTTGGACAGGAAAATGGACTGAGCATAACATGAGAACAGGGCTGTGGACATGCTATTTAAAGACTACCAACTGTGCTACATCTCCAGCACCTTGTGTAAGATGTTTTGGTGTGTGCAGTGTGTATGTGTGTTTATGTATATGTACGCACGCTCACGTGGGTGTACATTCACATGTATGCATAAGCTAGTGGAGGCCAGACTTTCTATGATTGCTCTTCACAATATGTTTTGAGACAGGGTTTCTCACCGAATCCAGAGTTTTCTGATTGGTTAGACTGACCGACCAGCAAACTCTAGTGATTCACCTACCTCTGCCTTCCCAGTACTTGGTATATGGGGGTGTTTGACCATGCCTGAGCTTCACAGGGCTCATGAGAATGAGAACTCAACTTCTTTTTTTTTTTTATTTATTATGTATACAATATTCTATCTGTGTATATGCCTCAAGGCCAGAAGAGGGCGCCAGACCTTTTTACAGATGGTTGTGAGCCACCATGTGGTTGCTGGGAATTGAACTCAGGACCTTTGGAAGAGCAGGCAATGCTCTGAACCACTGAGCCATCTCTCCAGCTCCCGAGAACTCAACTTCTTGATGTGGGATTTCCCTCTGTATGCTGTGATTACCATTAATGAATAAAGAAACTGCTTTGGACCTATAGCAGGGCAGAACTGAGGTAGGCTGGGGAAACTAAACTGAATGCTGGGAGGAAGAAGGTGGAGTCAGAGAGAAGCCATGTAGCCCTGCGGCAGACAGATGCCAAAACTTCACCTGGTAAGCCACTGCCACATAGCAATACATAGATTAGTAGAAATGGGTTAAATTTATATGTAAGAGTTAGCCAATAAGAAGCTAGAGCTAATGGGCCAAGCAGTTATTTAATTAATACAGTTTCTGTGTGATTATTTAGGGGCTAAGTGGCGGGGAACAAATAAGCAGCCTGCTGCTACAGGTTCTCAAGATTTCGTGGCAAGCACTTTACTGGTTATTTCCCCAGTCCCTTGAATAAATTTTTTTTGTAGGGGGTGGGTAGTACCCTTCAGCCTCTTCCTTGCTCATTTTTCTGCTACCAGCAGGTGTATTTGAGATGGTGAGAACCTCTCAGGGTCTGTGTAACGTCAGCACTTTGAAGTAATGGCCTAAAAGAAATTGCAGTCATTTGGGTAAGGGGCAGGAATCTGCTGCTGCTGCTGCTGCCAGGCTCTGAGGGCATCAGTTCAGAGATGGTGCCGGCTTGGACTCTGCTTGTTTCCTTAAGTGGCAGGAAGGTATAGGAGGCCCACCCTAGTACTGGACTGCTGGAGTGTTTTCTAACTCACAGGTCCAAAGTGACCTCCCTTCCTCGTGGGATCGGGCGGGGAGGTACCATTTACCATTTTGTTCTTGTTCCAGGCAGGAACAGCATGCTGGGCTGAGACCTCTCTTCTTGCCAGCTTGCTAAGGACTGGGATGGACACCTGCAGGCCACACAGTAGAGCAGGCTCTGGGTCTGTGGACCCCTGCTTCTTCATGATATTCTCTCATGTTCTCTAGGAAGATAGGGACAGGGGAGGTCTGAGGAAAGAGGGTGGCTCGAGCTGGTGTGGGTGTTAGAAGTTTCTAGTTAAAAAAAAAGGCTGTTAACAGGTCTCCCCAATGCGAAGGGATGCTTGGTAGATGGAGAAAAGTGTCTCAGATGAAATAGCCACAGGGGTGCTAAATAGCAGTGTGCCTTGTGACAGAGGCCAGCCTGCCGTACTGCGCTCGGCTAAGATGTCCTCAAGTATTCTGCTTCCTCAGCCTGACTCCGTGAATCCTCACAACAGATCCGAGAGGCAAGGAGCAATTCTGTCCCATGTCACAGGGATGTCGAGTGGCCTAGCCAAGGTTCTCGGTTAATAAGTAGCCAGCAACGCCAGGATCACGTGTGTTAGAGTCTGAAGTCGGCAGTGATGTCAAGGACAGTTGCAGCAGGATGGTGGTATGGGAGTCAACAGCTACTGCATGCTTACCCTGCACTGAGCACCGTGCTAAGCTCTATCCTGGGTAACCATCAGGACAGAAGTCTTAGACCTAGAAAGGCCTAGTATGCCGCATGCGGGACTGCGAGGCAGTCACAGAGCCAACATGGATCACTGAGAACACCGTGTTGCTCTCTGGGGGCTTCTTACTACCCCTCTATAGGGGCCAGACTCCCTGAATTCCATAGTTTTTCCTATCAAGGGGGCAGCAGCTGTGCCATCTGTATCATCTGCCTGTCCTGGCCTCTTCAGTGGCTGCTCTGGGGTCCTGTTCACACTGTAGGCTACTGATGGTGCCGGCAAGGATCGGCAAAACCAGTCTCGCCACTCAGAGTTCCCTGGGAGTCCTTGGGCCTTCAGAACATCCTTTCTTCACTGAATTTTATCTTTCCCTGGGCATATCTACTTTATCTAAACCTCCCCTGCTTTCCATGGTCTCCAGAGCTCAGAAACAGCATTGTTGTGACTGTCAGTGTCCACTGGATTTGGCCATGAAGCCCCCAAGTATTTGATTTTGGACTATATTCTTCATGCTTCTGCAAGGGTGATTAAGTTAGATTATATTAGTATTCTAACAGAGGGAAGGAGATTGCCCCCTACAGCGTGGGCTAGCCTCCTCTAATCAGCTGAAGGCTTGAACAGGACAGAAAGACAAGTCTCTTCAAGTACGAACGGTTCTGTCTGCCTGCTGCTGGAGTGGTCTCATCCTCGGCTCTCCCAGGCCTTGAGCCTGCAGACTTGCACTGCAGGTTTAGCCTTTGCCAGATTTCCTAATCACAGGAAACATTGTTTGTAAGAGACTGCTCTTTTGGATGGGGATGGAGTTCGATTGGTAGGTTGCTTGCCAACTGTGCATGAAGCCCTAGCTTCGATTCCCAGCACCACCTAAACTAGGTACAGTGGCGCACATCTGTAATCTCCACAGTCAGGAAGTAGAGGCAGGAGAATCAGCAGTCTGAGGTCATCCTCAGCTGTAAGCAAGGTTAAAGCCAGCCTGGGCTATGGAAAACCCTATCTCAAAAAAAAAAAAAAAAAAAAAAAAAAAAAAAAAAAAAGCCATGTTCTGTTTTTGTTTCTCTGGAGAGTCCTGAGCAATGTCTGTCTGCACATTTGCTCAGGCAGAACCTGAGGAATCACAGGGACCGCTCCACGCCAAGCCAGGCACTAAAGTCCTCTCATATGGGTTTAGCACTATTTATGACAGAAGGACACCCTAAGGTGCCTGGTGGGTTGATGGAAGCAAGAACTCGGCAATGAGAATAACAAAGCTTGAGTTTTGTGGGAGATTTCAAACTTACTCAACCAGAAGCCTCAGCCTATGCTCCGGAGATCCCTCAGAGTTCCTTGGAGTGCCCTGAAGGACCTACCACAGGGAGAAGAGGGAACTCCAAAGCCCTGGCCTGCTGGAGCATTTGTTCCTTTATATAATGGAATCAATCTGCAATATCATCTTTCAGCATTTTCATACACAGTCATAAATAGCCCAGGCTGGTCTAGAACTTGCAGCACAGCTGAGGATAAGCTTGAATTTCGGGTCTTCCCACTCTTACCTCCAGAGTGCTTGGAATTATGAGTATGCACCACTCTATCTGGTTTCTGCAGTGCAGGGGATTGAACCCAGGACCCCATGCATGCTAGGTGAGCACTTTATCCACCAAGCCACATGCCCAGCCCCTCTGAATCATCACTTAGAGAATTCTCATGCTCAAATATTTGAAAGCCATTCAGACTTTCTTCAACTGAGTCCCCCTCTCTTCTTTCATGTCGTAGGCAACCTCAGTCAAGGAGGTGGAAAGCTGTGCCCAAAGCCAGTGGTGGCAGAGGTGGGACTTGAACTCGGCTCATATATGAAGTCTTTTTTTTTTCCTGTTTAAATAAATACTTAAAAAGCCATACATGTTTCCATGTTGCAAGTGTGGGAGGTATCATGCTTACGCATGCGCCAGCCACGGTTTTATTTGCTATGAAAAGTGTTTGGAATTTTTATGATTTGGTGTTTAAAAATTATTGTTATTTTTATAACTTATGAAGCACAAGGTAAATTGAACAGGCCTATGAAGATGTTGAGGGATTTTTTTTCCATATACAGAGAATTGAACCCCTAAAGAAAATGTCCTAATGGGGTTAATAAAGGGCAGCATTCCTCAGAGAACTGGGAAATTAATCTGCCGGTTGAAACCTCAGAGGGGTTAATGGAAAGTGTAAAGCAACGGTTGTGCATATTGAAGTGTCTATAAATAGCTCAAAGTCCTGAACTGCCTCCCGAAGCTGCCGCAGCTTCCTTATTAACTCCGGCAGCTGCATGCCATGCTAGGATGAGACTTGAATTCGTTTCAGTGCATCCACAAGACCCCTGCAGCCCCGACCAAAGAGAGGGCTGCGGGGGTAGATGGCAGGTTGCCTGGCTGTGAGTGATGTGCAAGGTCCACTTACAGTGGGTGAGGTGAGAGCATGCGCGTGTGCATGTGTGTGTGCGTGTGCATGTGTGTGTGTGTGCATGTGAGTGTGTGCGTGTATGTGCGTGAGCGAGCGAGAAAGAGAGTGTTGGTGTGCCTGACATGAGAGGGGAGAGTTTGGTTACAGCATGAAGCTCTCCTAGAGGTTAGAATCTTTTCATTTATTCATTATTTTTTGTGTGTATGTGTGCATGTGCGGGAACAGGTGTGTGTGTATGTGTGCGCGCGCGCGCACGTGCACATGGAAGCCAGAGGGAAACCTGAGGCACTATTCATCTTGTATGGTGCAAATTCTTCACAGGCCTGGAACTTGCCCAGTCGGCCAGGCTGCCTTGTCAGTCAGTCTCAGGGATTCCCCCTGCCTCAGCCTCTTCAGCAATGAGATTTTAAGTGTGTACCATCACGCCTCCTACCACCTCCTTTAAGAGTGTGGGTTCTGGGGGTCAAA